TTTTGTTTGAATGCCCTGTCTGTACAACAGGAAGAAGAAAGGTTGTGCAAATTATGTCATAATAATAATATAGAAGACGAAAATCATTTTATCTTGCACTGTACAAAATATGAATCACAAAGAAATGTACTTATATCAAAATTGTCCAATTTTAAAAATTATGACAAACAATCCAAAACTGAGGATGAATATATCAAACTACAACTTAATAGCAAGTGTAGAAAAACACTTAGATTAATATCATCTTTTATTAATAAATCATTTGAATTAAGAAAAAATGTCCTGACAAATGAGTAATATGAACATTATAAAGCTATAACATACAATGTATGTATGTCAGTAGCCTATTCTACATTAACCTAAATTTAAAGGTTTAGTCTTCTAAAAAATATTGATGGCTAGGAAAAATGCTGTTTGTCATGTTTGCCAATACATGGATTTCTTATCCTGGGTTTCTCAGTCCTTCATCAATACCACAGTGACATGATTTTGATGGGGAATAACTCATGTATATATCAAGAGGTTCAAAGGTTTATCTATCAGGGAATTAAGTTATATAGATAATTGAATCGTTTGCACATAGATATAGAGTATATATGGTAAGACATCAGCAGCTAACCATAATATGAACATGTTACTGAGTAAGCCAAGTGATCAAGAAAAAGGGTTCATTGTTCTTACATTGTATATTCATTAAGGCAATATTAAGATGTGGCATTGTCAGACAATTACATGTAATTTTCCCTTTGAAAATCACAGACATGTTTTTTACAAATTAAAAAAATGCATATATTGTTTTGATAACCTGGCTGTGATAAGGTGTATTGTTTATATATTTTTTTTCATTGGTAAATGATAAGAGCTGCAAAAAGTACTCCTTAATATACATCAAAATGTACGATACGATACGAAAGTTTTATTTTTATTCGGTTCACACAAAACAGTAGAGACATAAGCAACATAAGCTCTTGAGAGCCTATTACCGAATATAAATAACATATATACATTGCATTAAAACAGAGTACTCACACAGCTATAAATTACACTACATGTACACGTAGCTAGCTTTCATTGGATACAGATTTAAACTGCAATGAATTACTACTGGAGACAAGATTTCCAAATTTTCAATTTTACATTTGGAACAGGTGTACAATAACTACATGTAAGTATATATGGTAGCCATGCTGTTTCTATTGTTGGAAGTGATCATTGAAAGTCAAGCATGCATGTAGTATGTTAATTGGTGTCAACTTTTCAAACCTTCAAAATGGGAGATCTTCCTAGGTGGTCTGGATGGGGTCAGAATATAGAATAACGGACCAATACAGAAAAAGGTAAAGAAAAGACCAATGAAATATAGTATAGAGAATAATGGGGGTGTTGTATTGAGTGATTAAAAAATAATGGGGAAAAATATAAAGAATACAGAAAAAATGACCTAAAATATTGAACAATACAGAAATGAAGGGCCCCCAACCCCCATCCAGACCCTTATATAGAATAAGGAGATGTGGTATGATTGCCAATAGCAACAACTATCCAACAGAGTCCAAATGATTGAGGATTTAAGCAACTATAGGTCACCATACAACCTTCAACAATGAGCAAATCCCATACTTTAGTCAGTTATAATTGGCTAGTAAAGATAGCAAAATGTGTTTCAATTCAAACAAAAACCCCAAATAGCCTGATTAAGGACAAAGCAATAAACGAAAAAAAAAATATGGCAGGCAGCAACCAACGACAATCACTGAATTATAGGCTCCAGACTTAGAATCCGACCCCCCCCCCTAAATCCGCCTCTGATACTTTGGCGTTAAGTAGATTTTCTAAATAAATTGTCTAAATAAATTGTCAAAAATCTTAAAACATGATAAGGCTTCAGAACATAAACCAAACTACTATTATGGATGCATAATAATTTTATGCAAAATGAAAATAATGTAAATACCAAATTCATTATGTTCCATGCCATTTAAAGAAGTGAAGAATAAATAGGGAAAAATATATAGATATTTACCAAACTGACATTCCTGTAGTCATATGGTTTTTCAAAATGAAAGTCAGAGTACATGGAAATTGGAATACGAAGGCACATTTTATAGTGTGTTCTATGTCAATAAATAAAAATGACACAGACGCCCAATCTTTCGCACACACCCAAACTCATACATACATACATACAATACTGACATCTTATATAGTCATGTGCTTGCGTGTTTAAGGTTGTTTCAGTTGACATATTGGCATGTGCTTGCGTGTTTAATGTTGTTTCAGTTGACATTTCAACATTGACACCTACGTATCTCGACTTTTCTGGGGTAATACTGAACCAGAATGTGCAAATCCAGAGAGTTTCGAATGTATTTCTCCGTTCCGCATCTGCATTTGAAGTAAGTCTTTTTGAACCGAGATAAGCAGCAAAATTTTCGCAACACATTTCTGTTTAAAGGCTTCCCGCTGCAGATTTTTGGTGGTTAAAAAAACATCTTCACAAATCTGCCGCCCCCGTAAGCTTTTGGTTTAGAGGATTCCCGCAGGAAGATTTTTGATTGGCTAGAAATAATCTTCAGCCTTGTTGTAAAAATCTGTGGGATTTGGGTAGAATTCAGTAATCTTAGGCCGCCACAGATTTTCTGTTGCTTAAAATTAATCTTCGGCTAATGTGCTGAAAATCTGCGGGGTTTGCCGCAGATTATTATTTTTGAAGAAAGCGAATATTTGTAAAAGGAAAATCTGCGGGAGCTGCAATTTTCATGCCGACGATTAATAATAATTTGCAGGCGGGAATAATAATAATCTGCGGGCGGGAATATTAATAATTCGCGGGCTGGAATTTTAAGGCCGCCGATTATTTTTTTTAATGCATTACTTATGGGAAAAATAAAAAAAGAATCGGGGAGTTCACTGCGGCTTTCCATACATGCTCGTCTGGTGTTCGAAAGGAGGAGAGTTTCCTTCACGAACTGCTTTAATAGTTGAAAATAAGTATTCGCTGATTCTTCGATAAACACTTGCTATTTAGGAGTAAAAGTAAGAACTGGTCTGTTTGAATTCAGAATGAGGTGTCTTCATGCTATCTGAACTAGCACATTAGAAATTAATTTGGCTTGCCCGTTTAGTATGCAGCAGGTTGTTTAAATTCATATCAAACTACAATATCGGCTGGAATATATGCTGTTACTGTTAATATATGAAGAGTGAAGTCGGAAGATTTTCCCTGTATTCTATTTTGTTCAAAATATGGAAGTTGTTGATTTGATAGGGAATTTGAATATTGAAAGGTCTAAACAAAATACTTTAATCATATTAATTAAAAAAAAATGAAAACAATTCTTTATATAAATTTCATGCGTCCGAAGCGTTTTTTTTTAATAGATAAATGTTAATTTTACTAAGTTCCGCATCGAAAGACAGCGTTTATTAAAATGTATTTATCTTGAATAAAAATCTTGAATAGAAAAGAAAAAAAGGAATTGCTGTTGGTTAAGAACTTTTTCTATCTTTTTAATTTTTATCCAAAGCCATCAAAATCGAGATGTTGCGCTATCGTTAGGTACTCAACATTTAGTGGAATGTTAAAAAAATGAACTATCATTTTGTTAGATAACTCCAAGTTCACATACATTAAGCCTGTTTGTAAATATTGAGAGACTTTTAGAAAGAGGCCAATAGTTGAGAAAAAAATTGGTAAAGATGTTGATCATTTAACTTTATGACGGAAGATAATTATTTTTTAAATTACTCACAAAGACGTTTTTGCTGGAGTTTTTTTTTTACTATATTTCTTTTTTTGCAAAAGGGTGTTATATAAAATGATTTAAAAAGTGAGTACAGACAATATACTCTGAATGGGCGCAGGACATTTATGCGAAAATTTTTAAACTACTTGGGGACATTTTAGCGCAGACATTAGAACCCATTTTAGCGCAGGATTAATCCGTTCACCTGTATTTTCAATAGCCCATTTTAGCGAAAATTTACCTGGTTGAATAATACTCGCCTTACTAAAACCATGAACAGTAATTTATGCTGGATTAATGTTTAAGTTGTTGATATGTTCACTTTGGTTCATCATAGACATAATGTTGTTGAAACGAACAGAGGAAAAGAAAAGTGTAATATGTGATGAATACCGATATAGGAAATATATTCTGTTTCCACATACGCTTTGAGCAGAAGTTCCATGTAATTCAAAGCGAACAAATAATGGCCCAGAGTCGTTCCATGCCCATTATAATGAGCAATTTTATAGTTGTCACCAGCTATTTACGTTTTCCTTGATACTATCATCAAAGTGCAAGACAAGATAAAGAGAAAGAACAGTTCCTACTGCAATTTTATGAACAGTATTGTACAGGCGGTATATCCAGAGCCCATTACGTACGTTCTCTAGAATATAAATTCCTGGCTAGAACGGACTTTTAACATTTGATTTAACCTTTTAGAATTTTAGTGCTGTATTTTAATGGACATGATATTTTTAATATTATGCTATCTTGATACTATTAAAAATTTGTATTTATTACTCATTATAAAATAGGTTAAAAATATTGCGCTAAAATGGGCATTGATAATTTCAATTTTCGCTAAAATGGGTTAAAAATCTTGCGCTAAAATGGGTTAAACTTTGGCGCTAAAACGTCCGATTTTTTTTGGACTAAAATGTCCTGTCAATGTGCTAAATTGTCCTCCGCCGCTCTGAATATCATGGAACACAATACAAGACTTCTATATTCACATGTAAATTAAAATGTGCCTAAAATTCAGTTACATATTAAGTACCTAGTTTTTCAACTCCATCACGCATGATTTCCACGTAAATCTAGGCGTAACAGTGGGAGGTATTTAAAACTTAAATAAACAAACCATGCTTAAAAAAAATGATTTAATTTATGTCAATTCAAATAGACCATGCTTAACGTCAATCTGAACTCCAGATATGGTATAAATAGAGATACAGGGGTAACTGTACATAGATATCAAAAATATTTCAGAAAGGGGAAATGTTGAAGCGAGCTGTGGTTTTCGCGGTTTGGTGTTTCTTCAATGGAATACATGCGATATGTCCAGATACAGATGCAGATCTGAAACCATGGTCGGAAGCAAAAACTTGGAATGATAATGGATTATCTGTGAGTATTTCGGTTTTTTTTTTATTATTAAAAACGTTACCTGGCAAATCAAATCTGGATGATAATTCATTCAATCTTTCGGTTCTGCGGGTGGCCTTCTTGTTACATGTACATAGTAGGTATACTTTCTGTCCCTATCCGACATATCCCATTTCCCGTCCTTCATCCTCCACCTTGCAGAATCGACTGACATGTTCATGTATTGTATTCATTGTTTTTTTGCTCTAGTCCTGAAAATGTATGAAATATTTGCCAATGGACGTGATGGAAACGATAATTAATCAACCAACCCAAGCATTCCACTGAAATCAGGCTTTACAAGTTATAGATTATTTTGTTTTAAACCCGGAAAATGTTCCGAAAAGCCTAATCAAGTTTAATATATCTATGTCGGTCCTACTAGGCTTTTCAATAGTTTAAAAAAAAATTATAACCGTTATGTCGGCTTAGAGAAAATATGACCGGGAGTAAAACGTTTAAATTAGTTGAACATTGGCAATAATTAATTTTTTTTATATTATCTTTTGGCTGACGTGCAATTTTTTTTAAAACCACTCCAATAACGGTTTTCGTATCTATAGGTTTCAGACAGTTTTAACAGGTTGGGACCAAACCCCCTATATGGTTATAATACCTGTATAGAGTGATTACCCTTCTACAGAGGGATGACATTATCTCTCTATAGAAGGATATATTTGTTTAGACTGGATTTAAAGCAGAACATGTCTACTTATTATGACAGTTACCTGCAACATTGGATGCACCAAGTCTAGTTTACTGCTAAACTTACTGAATATATAATCTATTGTTCATCATAATTGAAAGCTGTGATGGTCAGGTATATTCCACTCAGTTATGCCTCAATGAACAGATGGTGTCTTCCTGCTATTCCTACAATTCAAAAATGGTTTATTCTGTCTATTCCTACATTTTGAATTTTATAGGTAAAATAGTAAAATTTTATGTTGGAGTTCCCAGAATTTTTAGGAAAACAATGGGATTATGTAGGATTATGTTGTAACAACACTAAACTAATGAACCAAGGTAAATCCAGATAAATCTTGTGGAAAATAAAGAAAAAAAATATTAATAAATACTAGTAAATAATATCGGTGTCTTCCTCCTATTCCCACTTTTTAAAAATCACTATTCTTTCTATTCCCACATGCAAATAACAAAAGATGTTTTGATAAATAATTTGTTTTTATAACAATCAAGGTTAATTAAAAATTCACCTAAGATTTACCTGTATTTTTTAAAAGAAAACATATTTCTTACATGTTTAAGTATAATATTATTTAAAAAAAAATTTAATACACAGTTAATTTGTAATATGTTTTTCTTCTTCAAAGAATTATTCAAAATAAAAAAAAATAAGTCAGATAAATAGAAGTAAGATTAAAAAATCATTGATTTTGTAAATTTAAAATATTGTCAACCGAACAAATAAATTGATGATAGATAATATTATAACAAACTTTCCCATCTTGCAAGATTTCCATGTACAACAAACGCAAGAAGAACCTACCAGTTTTACCAAAAACTGTTACTGAAATCAACATGTATGCTATTTGGGTATGTACTTCCAAAGGTGACCCATTCCTGCTAACAGACGACAACACAGTTTGGTGTTTGTTAATCTTCAGTACTCAAAAGAATCTAACACGCTTAGCAGCTGCAGATATCATATATGGTGATGGTACATTTTACTCCTGTCCGAGTCTATTCTTCCAACTTTACACATTTCACGCAATGGTTGACGGCGCAATGTATCCACTGGTACACAGTTTACTTGCAGCCAAGTGCGAACTAGTATACACAAGGTTCCTGACTTTACTCAAAGATGTATGCCACCAACACCAACTACAACTTCAGCCTACCACTATCTTCCTGGATTATGAAGTCGCCATCCGAAATGCAGCATATTCTGTATTTCCTGGAATCAACTCAAAGGGCTTTTTTTCGACTACACACAATGTATCTGGAGAAAAGCACAAGAAACAGGGATTCAGGTTCCATACAAGGAAGACAACAACATTCATCAACTAGTACGCTGTGCCGCTGTCCTTCCACTTGTACCTACTACTGAAGTCGAAGATGTGTGGTTTTATGACCTAACCGACATAGATCAGATTGATACTAACATCAACTATACTCCCTTTACAGACTATGTAACAACATACTGGGTCGAACAGAACAGTCACCTTTGGGACCATTACACAACACAGGGACCGAGAACTACACATCATCTAGAGGGATGGCACAGCAAGCTGTTATAAGTTGTGATTACAGATAATCCGCTTATCGCCATCGGGTGGGTCACTTATCCGTTATCAACCTCATAATTGATCATCATAATTATTTTCCCCAGTAAAATCAGTCAGTCAGCATTTCAATTTCATTATTTATGAAACGAGCACAATTTGCAGTTCGTTTGTCGTAGTTTCGTCATTTGAGTTTTCCCTCGGACAGTTCGCATTTTAATTTCAATATTTCTCAAACGATCACAATTTGCAGTTCGCTTGTCGTAGTTTCGTCAAATGAACGTATTTTCGTCATATTTGATATAACTCTTAATCAAAAACTTTCAACAATTTCGATTAAAAAGATAGAAAACTTTATTCATAACATTCAGAAATGTTTTCACGAGTCAAACAGGTGCTTCCTTTACGATGAACTGCGCATGTGCGAAAGTATTCTTATGAATTTAAAGACACTAAAACGTAAAATACGAAATAATTAAGTATCAAAGTAAACGAGAGAGACAAATATAGTTCTTATTTAGCAAACTTAATTTAAAAAATGATAATTTCCTGCCCTTTTTAAACAGGAACCAATCCGTAGATGAATCCGGATTCATTCTGAATTTATTATCCACTTGTCACTTCCCGTTTTCATTTCTTTTGGAAATCGAAAGTAAACGTGATCTATTCATGATAAATTTACAATTTAAAGTCATTAGAATTGTTCCAATAAGGATTTGTACAAATCCTTGGTTCCAACTTTATAGAATCAATTCTAAATATCGCTTTAAAACGTTTTTAAGGATGATGCAGTGAAATAGTCCTTACAAGTTCATTTATGCTGTGATTCCTGGTTTAAAAAAAATGGATCCCAACTTTTGCTGATTAGGAATGTAACCTGAAAATAACTGAAGTGAAATTTTGAACTAGATTTCTAGATCTTATATCCTAATCTTCGTATTAAAGTGCCACATCAGTCAAATCATGCAGTAGCTGCCTAGTATGCCTTAGTCCTTCAAAGTCTGACAAAGATGTATAGATAGTAATATACATCCTAGGTCCCTTGCTGCTAACCAAAATAAGGTTGGTTTTAATCCCGCGCAAAAGTGACTAAAGCCCTCAAAATCCTAGCTTAAACCCTGTTCATATTTATTTTAGTTAAAAACACAGAATTCATACACATACAAAAATAAACTATTACCCATCCAAAAAAACACTTGTCAATTAAAAGTTGATTAAACAATGTTTATACAGTATAATCCTTTGTTTGCACAAGTTTCCCCCTATTCCCAAATGAAATTTTAACTTTTCTTACCAGATTTATAAAAAGTGGGAATAGGAGGAATGAACCTTCAATTCCCACTTTTAAAAATCACTATTCCTTCTATTCCCACATACAAATAACAAAAGATGTTTTGATAAATAATTTGTTTTTATAACAATCAAGGTTAATTAAAAATTCACCTAAGATTTACCTGTATTTTTTAAAAGAAAACATATTTCTTACATGTTTAAGTATAATATTATTTAAAAAAAAATTTAATACACAGTTAATTTGTAATATGTTTTTCTTCTTCAAAGAATTATTCAAAATAAAAAAAATAAGTCAGATAAATAGAAGTAAGATTAAAAAATCATTGATTTTGTAAAATTAAAGTATTGTGTCAACCTTTACGATGAACTGCGCATGTGCGAAAGTGTTCTTATGAATTTAAAGACACTAAAACGTAAAATACAAAATAATTAAGTATCAAACTAAACGAGAGAGACAAATATAGTTCTTATTTAGCAAACTTAATTTAAAAAATGATAATTTCCTGCCTTTTTTAAACACGAACCAATCCGTAGATGAATCCGGATTCATTCTGAATTTATTATCCACTTGTCACTTCCCGTTTTCATTTCTTTTGGAAATCGAAAGTAAACGTGATCTATTCATGATAAATTTACAATTTAAATTCATTAGAATTGTTCCAATAAGGATTTGTACAAATCCTTGGTTCCAACTTTATAGAATCAATTCTAAATATCGCTTTAAAACGTTTTTAAGGATGATGCAGTGAAATAGTCCTTACAAGTTCATTTATGCTGTGATTCCTGGTTTAAAAAAAATGGATCCCAACTTTTGCTGATTAGGAATGTAACCTGAAAATAACTGAAGTGAAATTTTGAACTAGATTTCTAGATCTTATATCCTAATCTTCGTATTAAAGTGCCACATCAGTCAAATCATGCAGTAGCTGCCTAGTATGCCTTAGTCCTTCAAAGTCTGACAAAGATGTATAGATAGTAATATACATCCTAGGTCCCTTGCTGCTAACCAAAATAAGGTTGATTTTAATCCCGCGCAAAAGTGACTAAAGCCCTCAAAATCCTAGCTTAAACCCTGTTCATATTTATTTTAGTTAAAAACACAGAATTCATACACATACAAAAATAAACTATTACCTATCCAAAAAAACACTTGTCAATTAAAAGTTGATTAAACAGTGTTTATACAGTATAATCCTTTGTTTGCACAAGTTTCCCCCTATTCCCACATGAAATTTTAACTTTTCTTACCAGATTTATAAAAAGTGGGAATAAGAGGAATGGACAATAATATCAATTGAAATGTATTAAAATTGTAGTAATTATTCTTTGAAACAAAGCACTAAATTTTGAGTTACACTACATATTCATTGAAACAAAGCACCGAAAATTACACTAAATTGGCATTAAAACAGAGCACTAACACAGTAATACATTGCACTAAAT